ATACCATGTCTTGAGTTAGCAGCTGCACTGGTCGCTGTGAAATTGAATTGCCTGATTCGGAACGAGTTAGAGTATCCCATACATGACACAACCCAAAGTTTCTGTGGAAGGACAAGGAAAATTGGCCTGAACAACCATCCCAGTTGCCAGAATTGCCTCAAGATGACAGTGAATGCAGAAAATGCCCTGGTTGTGTGAACATGATCGACCAGGGTAAAATGTTGGAACTGCCATTGTCCCGCTATTCATCCTGGGACAGTCTTCGAAAGGCCATAGCCTGGTTAGTATGTTTCAAGAAGTACTTGGTTGGCCTCCTTAAGAAGGATCCAGACAGCATTCCCAAGGGGCCCTCGACTGTCAGTGAAGTTATTGCTGCAGAGAGTATCATCGTCAAAGCTGTCCAGCATGATTCATTTCCAGCAGAGCTGGCTGTGGTAGGCCAAAGAGCATCGGGGAACCAGAAGAAGTGTGTTCCACGGTCTAGTCCAATAGGCAACTCGAACCCTTTCGTTGCTGAGGGAATATTAAGAGTAGGAGGTCACCTCGAGAATGCTCCTGTTTCTTTCCAAACGAAGAACCCTGTTATTCTTCCAAGTAAACATCACGTGACAAATTTGATCATCCAGAATTGTCATAGCCAACAGGGGCATTGTGGTCCTTCTCAAGTTCTGGCCCTCATCCGACAGAGATTCTGGATAGCACATGGTCTCTTGGCAGTATGGAGGGTTTCGGCGAATTGCACGAATTGTCGCAAGCAAAATGCTCATCCTGGTGAACAGATTATGGCCCAACTCCCGTCAGCATGAGTCGCTCCGACAGATCCACCATTTACCCATGTGGGTGTGGACTCCTCTACAAGGAGATACACAGCGACAACAGCACCAATTTCATGGGCACCGAGAGAGAGCTGAGAGAAGCACTGGAGCAACTGGACCAAGCCAAAATCTATAATAGTCTAAGGTTGAACGACGTTCAGTGGTCATTTAACCCTCCTGAGGCCAGCCATTAGGGTAGAATCTGGGAATGTATGATCTGCTCCGTACAGAAGATTTTGGGTGCCCTGTTAAAGGAACAGCTGGTTAACGATGAAACATTATCCACCCTGCTGTGTGAAGTTGAAAGGATTCTCAAAGACAGACCTTTAACTTCCCTTAGTGACCACCCAGTTGACCATGAGCTGCTGACGCTGAGCAAACTCCAGCTCTTGAGATCCAATTCCTGCCTCCCACCGGATGTCTTCAAAGGTCACGACAAGTATAGCAAATGCTGGCGCCAAGCACAATGCCTGGCAGATTCATTTCGGAAGAGATGGATGAAAGATTATTTACCTGCACTTCAAACAAGGCAAAAATGGAGCGTCCCTCATCAAAACTTCGCCGTCAGTGACTTGGATCTCATTGCCAACAAGAAGACGTGTAGAGGTCGCTGGCCACTGTGCTAGATTGACAAGGTGTTTCCAGACAGCAATGGCTATGTGCGCAGTGTTAAGGTGAAAACGGCCACATCTGTCTACAGACGTGACATCAGGAAGCTGTGCCTCCTTGAAGGAGTCCAGAACTCACAAACTCTACAAACTGATAAGTTCTATGGCTAAGACTGCACATTACGAACTGCGTAATCTAAAATTAGTTAATTTTCGTCACATAACTGTAGGATATTCATAGTCTTGGAATTGGTTATTTTGTGGTTGGAATTAGCTGGTACTAGTAGCTAATTGGGGGCTGGTGTAGAAACCAATCCCCTGCCTAGCGGCTATGCATATAAATAGTTTGACCTTTAATGTTTGTTTCATTAATTTATTGTAATTAATTGTTCTGCTCTTAATGTATGCTTGTTACCTTTATCCTAGAAACCACTGGCAACAACATGTATAAACAGAACAATTATATATAGAAGAGAAAAAAAAATTAAAACTAACAAAATGCCAATAAAAAGGAAAGATGAAGTAGAAAAAATAGGAGTGGCACATCCTCTGAGACAAAGATATTTGGGGCAGCTCATACACATAGTTTTGTCCATTTTGCTCTGAATTTCGCCAGTGTATTATTTTTAAAAGCAATTGCATGTTCACAAAGGATCTTTTCACTGAGAAACAAGCTGAAAATTTCAAAGCTGGGACAGGCTTTGTTTAACCACGAAAGAAAGATGTGGTATTTTGCAATAACAACAAAATGGTTAAGGGCTTGAAAAAGATTTGATTCTGGTTTATAATTATATAAAATATCTGTAGCATTTAAAGCGACAGTTTCCGATCGCTTCTCCTTTTTCGACTAGTGATCACAGCTCGGAGATGTTTTCTCAATGTACATGTTATTGCGTGTTGTTATATTTTGGGGGCCATATGATTAGCTCTAACCGTGTGGCCCCCAAAATATAAAAAAAGTTAAAAAAATTTAAAAAAATAAAATTAAAAAACGATTAAAAATATTAAAACATTACAAAAAGACATATTTTTTGTTTGGAAGGGTCCCAAAGAAATCCTATTAGGGTTTCTTAGTTGTCTCTACAGCAAGAATGATTGTATCAAACTTTCTTACTATGCTATTGACGGAAGTAGTATTTCGTTTCTTGATTTATTTCTTTACAAAGATGCTAATTTCAGCACTCTGCAGTTTTCTACCTATCAAAAGCCACTAAATAAGTATCTGTACATTCCCTTTGAGTCGTTTCATACTTCCAGCAACAAGAGGGACTTTATTAATTAGAGGAGAGTTTAAATGTGCTGTACTAGAAATAGCTCCACATTTAAAGCCTTTAGTGAAATGCAAGAAATTCTGGAAGCGCCTCCGGCTTCGCAGTTACCCAGTTGGGTCTTTACTCCCTTTATTCAGGGAGGTTAAATACAGTAACAGAACTAAATGGCTTTCGCTAAAGTGTAAATCGCACAATGGTAGAATGGTAGTCTTTAAATCTACATTTAACTGTAGTCATGCTAACTGATGTGAAGGACATTTTGTTATAGTGTACTCAAAAAGTGCAAATA